GCATGCTTTTGGGCTCCCCTGCCGAGCCTGGGCTTCCTAGGGCCCCGTTTGCAACCGCCTTCCTCACTCTGGAGAGCCTGCCTGGTTAAACGAGGGCAGGTCATTATAATCACCATTACTGTTTTAGCACTCCAGCAGCAATAACCTCTTTTGTGCCACAGGAGAGTGGATAAAGCCAGAGGGGCTGAGCAGTAGCGAACAATAAATCTCAGCAATGTTAGAAATCTACTGCTCTTTCCCCTCCCCGTCCTCAATTTAAAACTGCAGCTGGATATAGGTATGCAAGGATTACTGTCCTCAGCCACCAGCATGCTCTGGAGTTTCTAGCTGGCCATCAATCTCATTCACTTGACTGCTGTTGGATGGAGGATGTAGATGAAGGACAACTCAACAAAATCAGCTGCTCCTCTCCTCAGATTTCCCAGCGTTGTGAATAAGCAAGTGCTCAGCTAATGTCTCTCCTGCTAAGCTAACAAGCTCAGATAGTTTCTAAATGAGGTATAAAGGAGCAAAGAGAAACCTCTCTACCCCCACCCTCTGGCCAAACAGACCATCCAACTTCCCACAGACCGCCCAACTTTTCACAGACCACCCAACAGCCCACAGTGCCTTTTCATGCCCTGCTGCTCCTTCTTCTGGCTCCTCAGAGTACAAGGGCCCTGCATGCTGGAACCCGCACAGATCTCACACAGGTGCAGTTCTCAATGAGACATACCTGTGCCATGTCAGCTGAAGTGAAAGGAAGAAAAATTATCCCCCAAAGGTCTCCTTACTCCCTTTGTCCTTTCCAATTATACCCAAATAATAAGGATTGCTGCTACAGTACCCCTATAGCACCCAGTCAGCAACGTTGGTGCTTCCCAAGCTGGGTCCGCAGTTGCGAGGTTGAGACAAAATGCCCATGGCTGGTCCTTGGAGCCAAATTAAAGAGCAAATAAACTTCCACCATCTCCGTCATGTTCTCAGTGAAATATTTCATGGGAAGGCCATAGGGAAGCCCACAAGGGAGTTCTTCTCAGGAACCAGGTGGTCACTGCTCAGCCTCGCTCACCATACCCACGGCTAGCCGTGAAGGAGTGACCCAGCATCCCGCACCTTACTGGAGGCGTCAGACCCCTAGACCCCTAGCCAGTCACCTTCACTGGCAACACTGGCCAGGCATCACGTATTTAGCTGTGTGTCAAGCTGAAATTTGCATTCACCTGCACTTTTCTAAAGGCAGAAACACTTTACTTTTGAACAGACTCTAGTGCACAACATTCACCAGCACTGCCTGACGCTTCCTTGGCTTTGCTTCTCCAGCTGTTCCTGACCCGCGCTTCATGTTTATGAAGCCAACATACACCCGAGCTCTTCTTTGCCTCCTCTCTTTTGTTGCTCTCTCCTCTCTCTATGCCAGTCTTCTACAGCATAGCTTCACACACTGTGTGTTTTACCACTTTCCAATCTTGGCTAGAGTATTATCTCAAGTGTCTAACATCAGAATTCAATTCTCGGGTGGGCAAACTTCTACTAATTTAGCAAGTCTTCTCTAGCACAACACTCTCTAAGGAAAGCAAGAGCTGCTGGAAACACAGGTACAGCTAAAAGTGTTTCCTTTTCCAGGTGTCAGTGGCTTGGGAGTAGCAAGTCAAAAAGAGCAGGAATGCTGGCAAAAGCTAAGGGAGATTAAGGAGATGACATTTTCCTTTCTACAGCACTCATGTAGCCCTGAGGACATATCCTACATTTTTTAAACAAAAAAAAAAAAAAAAAAAAGGCAAGCAGAGTCTTGCATTACAAGTGCAGAAAGCAAATACCTCATTTTATTGACTGTCATAAAGGAGTTCAAAATATTTGGGGGGCAGAATGCGGAACACAAATGTTCTCCCCCAAATATTTCACAACGAAGTAAGTCTATTTCATTATGAAAGAAAAATATTCTGCTTTGTGATCAGCCAAGATCTTTAGTTTCAGTAATTCAACAAAAGGAAATTGAAGTCTGTATAAATGGATGAAGCCAGGCAAATATTATGCATCAGGTGCCAAAAGCTGTTTAGGTAACTCGCAAGCCAGCGCGGGGAGACAGGGATTGCCGCCTACTGCTGGCCAGGTGCCACAAAATGACACCTGCATGACAATTCCCAAGTGAGCTGCCGTGCTGCCTACCAGCAACCCTGTGTCTGTGCTCTCTTGCCTTAATGCCCTGGGGTGACTGCAAATGCCCCACGAGCAGCTTGGGCAGGACTCTTCACAGAGAAAAGAGCAATGCAAGCAGGACTTTTCAAGGAGGAAGGAGCTATTTGAAGCAATAAGACCACCAGGTTTGCACTCTACAGTAACTGCTCCTGGTTGCTGTGCCCATAGGCAGATTTGGCACCACCACCGACCCGGCACCTGAGCCCTAGACACCCTCAAAAGGACCCTGCTCTCCAGCTGTGATACTGGGGTGGAGAAACTTGCTCTATTTTCACAGGTTATATGACAGCTTGTAAAAATTTTACAGCGTGACTGCAGCACCTAATCCAATAAAGCTTGCCAGGAACATTTAAAATCAAGGTCTCTGGGATTTTGTTTCCTCTGAATTCACCAGGTTTGTAATGAAGAATCGCCCTTGCAGAAGTGCAGCAGCGATCTCACTGGAGACACATGAAGCTGGGGACTGCCACGACTTCACCACCTATCTGCAGGGCAGCTCAAACTGCTGGGGACGGGGCTGTAGAGAGGCACTAAAGTGACCAGAGCTAACGAACAGGGACAAGAAGAGCAGAATAGAAACGGAATATAAAGCAGAAGGAACCTATAACTTTAATTCTTTCACTGCAGGAAAAAAAAAAAATCAGCAGCTTTTATTTGGAGGTCAAAACACGGAAAGACACTGTTTCTCTTTCTACTTTCTTGTGCCTGTCACTAACCAGCTACCTAGCAAAGGCTGGACAGGAAAACAGGATAAGACAGCAAAACTTGGTCAAGTAAGTATCTGAAGAGAAATCCTATCCCCGTGCAGACACTCCCCCACTTTCATTTCCTAAGAAGTAGAAGATGACACATAACTGACAACAACATTAAAAACAAAACAGCAGCAGCAGCCTATAATCACAACAAGATTTCTGATCAGTAGAAGATTTCTTTTTCCTGAAGATGGGTCAGCTTAAGCCACTACTTTTTAAAATGTTTTCTTTTCAGCAGCTCTCCCCAGTGGCAGGAGCTGAATAACAGCGTACATTATAACTCCATGCTGTGCAAACCTCATTTGGGCCTGAGCATCATCAGTCACTCCTGCTGTGCAGGTAGCACGCCAAGAGGAAATGCAAAGGAAGTCGTGCTGCGGTATCTGCCACCACCCGTCCCTCTGCTCACGGGCTTCAATTCACTTATAATCCTCCCAGCTGGCACATGGTCATTCGCTCTTTATGGGACCCCTCCTTTTCCTCTCCCTCCAAGCACTGGAGAACAGCTTTCATGATTTTAGGGAAAGGACAAAAGCGTAACGCACGCTAGGGAAAGGCACACCAGGGATACCGTTGTGTGCAGTGTGCCCTTGCTAAATGCACACGGTACCGACAGCAGTGCACTTTTCTTGGTGAATGCGCATGCCTCAGCGCAAGATGAATACTCTGATGAATGAGAAGGCAGCAACTACCCTTTGTGGCAGAGCCACGCACAGCTCTGAAAAGAGCTCCTCATACCAGCGGCCGCTTGCCTTTCCCCAGCACACGCTTCAGCCGGCTGACAGTGCCATCTCCCCCGGGGACGGCCAGGAGAGACACACGGCTTAGCAGGACAATAAAGCTCACGGCTCCATATCGTTCCAAAAGCTTTAATGAAGCTCGAGTTGGAGAATATTTAGGAACCCAGAGGCAACCTGGGTCAGAGTTGGAAGACAAATTGCAGTCTTACTAAGACTCTCTTCTAGCTTATCTAGAGCTTAAAGAGGGCTCCTTCCTCCTATTTCACAGCTCTAGTTTGGACCACATCAACTCAGTGGACTTGCAAGAGTTAATTGCATCCCAGCACCTCCGTAGACCTGCAACAGTTAATTGCATCCTGGCACCTCCATACAGCTCAGGTCAGCTGAAGTTGCCTGTACTTTATGTTCCCTAATGAACCAGCTCTGCAGCTCCTCATTTTGGCAGTACAGCAGCACACGCTGGAGAACAGCTCTTCAGATTCCCCCAACATCCTCCTGCACAGCTCAGACAACTCGTGTGGAGAACAGGCAATGAGAAAAAACTGCAGTCCCCTCCTCCTCCTGAAGTGCTGAGCAGACGTAGTGCCACTTCTCTACACTCCTGTTCCCCTCAGTGTGTTAACTAGCCATCACGGAAGAATGAGGCATTTAAAGGCACCTTCTAATGCCCTGACCACAAACCCTCCTACATAGCAGTCCGGACAGGTGACTTTGAACCTGGCTTCATCTCCCTTCCTACTCCAGCAACTATGCCACTCCACTTTCCATGCGATAAACTGCTCGTGTAACCCGGACCCCGCATCTGGCTCCTTCCAACTCCTTCCACAAGCTGCACACTCACTCACGGCAGCGAAACTCCCAACTGCCCTGCTTTGACCAGCCACCACCTCCACTGCGAGGCCACATGCCCTTGTCCTGGCATCCTGCTGGCATGTTTGCCCACAGCTCACCAAGCTCCTGCCAAAATGACAGCCCCACAAGCAGCAAGATGGGCTCTACTCCAGGACCCAGGACTCACGAGGACCAAGGGGGATTGCCTGATAGGGGCTCTAACGTGACAACGTGCTGAGCATGCCATCCCTGAACCATCAGTGCCCCCAATAACCAGTCTTGCCTTGTGCCACAGTTTTAAAGTGCTTCTGGAATGCTGGTACGACCAGGATGAAGGCAGCAACTCCCACAGGTCACCCGCACAGTCTAACAGTGTGGCCTAATGCCTACCTCGCTTGTCCTGCTCCCAAGATCTAAGTTTACAAGCAGTAACGAGTTCCCCTTCCACCGTGCAAGCAGGGCCGAGCGCGGCGCCACACGCTTTCCGGGCTGTACTCACCCAGAAGAGGAGGTTGAACACAAACATTAGGTACTTGATGCACTGCAGGCAGTTGTGAGCCATGCTGCACCTCTTCAGCTCTAGGAGAAAAATAAATGAGAGATCCAGGTAAAAGACAACGTACTTGTTCCCCTTGGGAGACGTGTACTTAGCCTTGGTGGCCTTAGGGCCTGGGTTGGTGTGAAAGCCAAAAAAAGAGTTGCTGGCGGTCCCAAACTGGCCGCCATACATGCTGCTGTAGCGGCGAAAGGTGCCATGGGGAAAGCTGTAATCCTTGCTGTCCAGGGACGGGCTCCGGCGGTACGTGGACTCGTCCGTGCTGGACCTGCGCATGGTGCCTGCGGGCGGCCCGGGAACAGGCGCCGAGGGCGGCAGCTTCGCGGCTCGCCCGCCGCCTGCGTCTCCGCTCCGCAGCCGCTAGTGCCGGCCACCCGCCGGGCTCCGCGCCGCCATCCCGCCGGGGAGTTCCGCGCCGCTCCAAACTTGCTCGGCGGCCGCGAGTCAGGCGGCGGCGGCCAGGGGCACTGCCGCCCGAGCGGCCATGCCCGGGGCGGCCCCCGGCGCCCCGCG